TATATATATATATATATATATATATATATCATCCAGGCTGGAGTACAGTGGTGTGATCATAGTTCACTATAACCTTGAAGTCCTGGGCTCAAGTGAGCCTTTTTTTTTTTTTGAGTTGGAGTCTCACTCTGTCACCCAGACTGGAGTGCAGTGCAGCCAGCGATCCTTCCGCCTCAGCCTTCCAAGTAGCTGGAATTACAGGCATGCGCTACCACGCCCGGCTGATTTTTTGATTTATTGTAGAGATAAGGTCTTGCTTGCCCAGATGGGTCTCGAACCCGCGGGCTCAGGCAATCCTCTCACTTCAGCCTCCCAAAGGCGCGGGATTACAGACTGAGCCACCGAGCCCCACTTCAAGTAACTGGGACTATAGGTGCATGCTCAGCTAATTAGGTCCAGCTATTTATTTATTTTTGTAGAGATGGGGTTCTCGCTATGTTGTCCAAGCTGATTCAAGCAATCCTCCTCCCTCAGTCTCTCAAAGTGTTGGGATGGCAGGCGTGAGCCACGCCCTGGCACCCTTGTTATTGCTTTGATGTTCTCCTTTCCAGCCGGTACTGTGGTTTCTACTGGGAATTTGGAAGGGACAACCTGGGGTCCCAAAGCTATGTATACTCATACCAACATTAAAAACTGTAAGTGGTGCTTTGAATTGCCCATTCTCAACGTACCTAGTTGTAAGAGGTTTGACCCTTGTAGCAACAAATGGTATTGGCCACTATTTTTAGCACTGAACCACCAGGGGAGAAGCCCTTCTTCCTCCCCAGAGGCCTGGACAGGGCTGGGGGGCGGGGGCGAGGGTGAAGGGAAGCGAAGGAGGGGCAGGGAGAGTGAGGACAGTGAGGGTGAGTTCCAGCAGGCCCCAGCAGCTAAGTGGGTGGAGCCCCCAGCCCTCAGTTCCATATTTGCATTTCTCACACTCCACCCTCCACCGCACCATACCTCCATACCTCTCTCGGACTTCCTCCCACTCTCTCCACCCTCTGCCCTCTGCCCAAACCTGTTGCTTCACTCCTCTCTGGAGCTCCCAGCTCTACAAGCACAGCCCTGCCCTGATCCTCCTGGGCCTGTCAGCTTAGATCTTCCCATCAGCCCAGTGCTAGGTGGAGGAGGGGACCCAGAGACCACCCCTCCCCCATCCCAGTTCTCTGTGCTGCCGGCTGAGCCCTCCAACCCTGAGCCTGGGGCCCATAGTGCTTGGCAGGTCCTGGAGAAACATGCTGCCTCTCCAGAATTCCCCATAATGAGTAGGTGGGGCTTGGGCCAGCCCTGTGT